CTCACCCTACCATCACTTTCTTCTTCAACAATTCTTTAAGGATGTATAGCTCATAGACGCCAGCCGGACCCTGAGTGTTGAGCCTGCTCGCTGGTCCCTCTGTCTAGGCCTACAGCAAATACTTCAGCAGACAATGAACCGGTGGCACTCGTCATCACCATCATCACTGCCTTTCTCACCCTACAGTAGGATATAGGCCACGAACAAACACTCTCCACCTTCCTCTATCCTGGGCTAGCCTCTTTGTATTATTCCAAGTCTTCCCAGGTTTCTGTAGGCCTAGATCTATTACATCCTTCTCTGAGACTCTTCCCCAGGTCCCAAGTGGCCTTCCTCTCGGTCAACTGCCATGTGGATTCCAATCCAAGGGATGATGGATGGCGTGATAAGTTGAACGACCCCAGGAAGGGGCGGAATGCTCGGACCCTGCCTGTTAGGGCCAGCCTAGGCTGAGTGGGGAACCACAAACTGGAGGTACATGTACTTCCCAGCAGGCACATAGGAGGAGATGCTGGACAGGAAGAGTTTTTACGTTACGGGAATTTGAACCCACGCCTTCAGTGTTCAAGGGGAAGAGCTAAACCACTATACCGCAGACGTGGAAAGGAAGACACATAGACTAAGAAAACTTTCAGATCGTTCTTCTATTAACAAAGTACTTATCTTGTCAGACACAAGCAGTGACAAACTAAAAATAAAAAACATTAAAAAACGTTCTCATGTCACTTAGTTGGGACAGGACTAACCACATAAAAAGTCTTCAATGCATGAAAAGTTGAAAGTATTTTCTGTTCCCGAATCTATGACTTATTCTCTGTAAATGATTCTGCAAAAAATATTTGCAAAGTATCTAAAAAGTACAGTTCTACTATAAAGAATCTAACAAATAGAGTTGCATTTAAAGTTATCAGACAAAATCGTACCAGCCCGGTCATCTCTAAGTTCATGAACATTCTGCACACCACAATAAGGTAGCAAGAGACAGAGTCTTCACGATGAAAAGTCTTCTCTAGCTATAAATGATAGTGTACAAAACCTTGTTTTACCTTCAACTACAGCGAAAATCAACAGAGAGATCAGCATCCTGTAAAACAGACAGCTGGCAAAGAGAATTTTATAAGACTAGCAGTTTACAACACAAAGAAAACATTGGTAAAACAAAATGGCCTAGCTCTTACAGAACTGTGAGGGGTCAAAGGTGAGCCCTACCTCTGGAAAACTCCTCCTGCTTCTAAAGCTGTTATTCTAATATTTTTGGAGCGCTGTCATGGAGCACTGCTGGCAATGTTTCACACCGGAACTCCCCATCCACACCTCGCTTCTACCTCGGCACGGACATTCAAAACAAGGACATATGTATGTACATATGTATTATAAAATTGTATATATAACCATATGTATAATACATATATGTGAGTGTGTGTGTGTGTGTGTAAGTGTGTATACATGTATTTGGTGTATATATATATATATATATGTATATATCAAACATCTATACATAAAAGGTATCCTAGCTGTCCCACACACACTCACACACATATTTATACACAAAGAGTCTAAGAGAGGCAGGAAAACCATCTCTGCTAAGATCACAACACCCACATAGAATCAAACACGCTATGTAGAAAAGAATATCATTGTTTTTCCCATCATAAAAAAAAAAACTGAGGTAAAGAACGTTTCTCAAAAGCCACATGTCACATGTATCAAATGAAAAACACCAGAGAGATGCAAAGAGTCTTCTAGAAACACTCACAAAAAAATAAAAATATTCATACGTATTCGTAGGATCACAGAAAAGTGTCAGTCACATCCGAAGATTCGTGTTCTACATATCAAGATATATTTGGAATCAGAACAGCTACTGAGTAAGAAGTAGCCCATGTTGTGGTGATGGCTTTATTCCACTTAGTGCAATGAGGATCAAAGGAAAATATTATTTTTAAAAATGATTTTAAAAAAAGACTCACAGCATGAGAATGTACAAAATGTACAAACCGTGGAAAACATGGACCTGCCAACACACAAGCAAGCAGCGAGAAAATGTGCAAAAATCCTCGCCTAAAAAAAGGAGAAAAGGGGAGAACATAAATGTCACCTGTTTCGTTTGACAAAAGAGAAGCCCTTCGATGCAACGACAGTCTTTTAGGGCAGGAAATCGGTAAGACAGACAGACAGACAGACAGTCAGACAGACAGACAGACAAACAGATGGAACCAGCAGAGAGGAAAAAAAAGAAGGACATACCAGTGGCGCCCTCCAACCATCCCAGAGAAAAAGAGTCAATTTGTAAATTTTCACATAAATACCAAAGACTATCTCTGTCTTGACTCATTATTGTTGACACATTGGACCTCTTGAATGGCAATATATTAAGTATAGAATATGAATTGCAGTTGCAGTTGTTGTTGTTGTTGTTAGCGATCCAGTAGCATCTGAGCGTTAACTCTTCTGCATGATGCCATTCGGTAATTGTGGTCAAAGCTCAATATGCAAACCTCAAAAATATAGGTCCAACATGAAGCTGATTGCTTGATTATAAAAAAGCACATCGATACCACAACTGCCATTCAGAGCAGGAAAGATAGACAGACAGCAGTAACTGAGAGAAAGAAAAGAACTAGACCTTCTATCATGAGCATCCACCAACGACCCGACAATCATGGATAAATTAGTGGTTGAAAAAGTGAGAGGACAAAGACAAGAAGCCACTCTGTCAATGGCCCGAAATATTGCCCATCAGGTAGATGGCAGTCTATAGAAAGGAGGACAAAACTCAACTTCATTTGCAGAATAAAATAAAATAGGAGGGAGGGAGGGAGGGAAGGATGGGAGGGGGGAG